CTACATGGTTCCTCAAAAGTAAGGCTGCCTGCAAAGTTCATCTGGCTCGCTGTAGTAAGTAGTTTAGCTTAAACCCCATATTTGAGCTATGGGTACAGACTGGAAATAAGCAATCTAGCTGACTGTGGTTCAAAACAACACTGCAGGCTGTTCAGGTATAAGGGAATCTTTGTAGTTCCCTGTCTGCAACAGACCAGCTCCTGCTCTGGCTTAGAGACAGAATACTTCCTGGAAATGGGGCTTGTATCATTAATGTACTGGAGGCTTGCACTTTGTGGCAGCCCTGTGTGCTGGGGAGTGCTAGCATAGCCCCATATAGCTGGGTTTGGCAGGGCCTCTGTGACTTACTCTGTCTACAATTTGCAGTGAGGCACGGCCTGTACTTTGTACTAGGTGTTGCCATTCATTCCATGCAGCCCGATACCAGGGGCTTGGTACAGAAATCAAGAATCTTATCTGAGTGATCCACATATGGCAGCTGCTGCTGCCTGGGGGGTCTAATCTACATCCTGGTCTTTCCTCCCTTTGCGTTAGACTAGGGTGTTCTCCTCTGTAAACCATTGCACATAAACAGAGGATGTTTACCATGGTGACAGGCATCATGTGGCTCAAGAGCACACAGTGTGCCTTCATTCTCCCCTCTCTGTGGGTTGCAGGGCAAAGCATGAATGCCTGGGCATGTTTCTTGGCTTGGATGCAGTGTTTTGCACGGGATGGCTTTAGCTAAAGCAAGTTGGTTGAATAAAACAACGAGAAGTCAGTCTAAGCATTCAAGATGCAGCCAGTGTGGCGTGGCTGTTTTCTCACTGCTAATGGCATCTTGGCGTTGCGGGGAGAAGGGTCGGTTATGGTCGGCCAGCATCAGGCAGGCAAATCCTTTTTGTCTTGGTCTCAAGCACACTCACTCTGTGGAACAAAGAAATCTGCTAGGGCTAATGGACTGCTGGTGCTTTCAGTGCTTTCCTGCCAAAACCCGCACAGAGCTTAGGCACTGGCTAAGAGGAGCTGGCTTCCTTCCTTCTGACTGTACAAGTTGGAGCCTGATTCCTGTGTCGCTGTTTTGGTTGGATTACGCTATATGGGGATTCTGGCAGTGCTTTGACTGGGTTCAGCATGACCTGAACCAACCCTCCCAGCATCCTTTGATCACAACTGCAAAGAATCCATATTTCCCTCAGTTGCAGGTTGCTCACAAATGCCCATCGGCTTCCTGCAGGATTCCTGGAGCATCCTGTCAGGCACCAAATAGACCCCCGTAGTGAGCAGCGTTCCTGCAGGCCCATCTTTAATGGATGGTCCATTTAGGCTCTTATCCCCTGAATAGGGCAAGGGAAGGGCTGGGAAGAGAAGCATCAAAGGAAAACAGCTAGGCAGACTTGTAGATGTTGGGAGTTGGTATGCTTTGTGATGTGCTTGCCAGAAGTGCCATCTCTCTGTGGGCCTGGCTCCCTGTGGTGGCTACGATTCCCTGGCATTCTTCCTCGGGCGTTAACCAGGTGCCTTGGCCAAACGCCATCTTGCGTTATTGTGCTGTTGGTAGCTGTCCTTTAGTTCCTGTTTGGGCAGTGCTCTCTGCCTCTGTGCTACTGCTGAGACAGCCCCGCAGTTGCCAAGGGGAAAAATGCTTGTGTGTGTGTGAAGCCCGTAAATCTTTCCAGCATTTCCCTCATGGCGGCTGGAGTAGGCAGGTCAAGGATTACAGCACTGTTTCCCAGTGTAGCTAGGGAGGCTGATCTCATGGAGATTGCTGAGCAAAAGAGGAAGAGCCTGTTTATACTAGTCCTGTATCCGGTAAGCTGCTGGTTCCCAGAAGCCCAGGCCTTTGCAACTAAGGGGCTATTCTTCTAGTGTTTGTTTTGCATGGGTGAGTCCTGGAGCACTTTATTGCAGCTTGCTTGTTCCTTCTGTGCAGGGCTCCTCCCTGCTCATAGCTCAGCTACTGTTTGCTGTAAACCAGGTGGGAATGAACCCAGTGTCAAGTGGAGTCAGCCTTATGTCTTTCATTGGTGTAAGCACATGGCTGCAGTTACTTGGTGTCAGCCCTCACTCCTGACTGCACTAGCTAGAGACGGATGTGTACCAGGACAACTAACTTCAGTGTGTTACTAGATGAAAATTACCTGTCCTGGTATAAGCCCTACTTTGGGGGCAGTCTGCAAGTTAGGACAGGCAGTAGAATAAATACTGTATTTTCTTGCGTATAGTATACCAACAAATGAGACATTCCTTTTGGAAAGGCAGAATGAAGGAAAAACTTGTTTTTCCAGAGTCCTGGCTGCAGATTAACTGCATGGAGCAGCTCTCACACCCACAGCAAGCTCGCTGCTCAGCCAGAAGGTGCTATAAATTTGGCAGTAGCTGTGAGGGGGTTAAGTCTTGCTCTGTCACTGAAGAGTGGACTCTGCACCAGCTGTATGCTGGCTAGAGAAAAGGACAGCCCCTGGTAGACATTACAGCATCTCCACACTTCTCTTCCAGTGCAGAAATCAGCCTCTCCACTTAAGACATGCACCCCAATTTTAGAGAACTTTTTTTGGGGGGGGAGGGGGGGGTGCCTGTGATATGTAAGTAAATATGGTAATGATAGACTGGCCTCAGGTAGGATGAGGGGCAAATGAGTACTAGAAACAACTGGTGGCCAGCAAAGCCCACCAGGCAATGTTGAGGTCTGAGGTACTGTGTTGGTGAGATGGTGTGATGGGCAGATGCAACTTACAGTGGATTGAGGTTGGTAATGTGTCCTGACACTTGCTATCAGTTACTGGAGTCCCTGTTGGGGGAGGGAGCAGTGGAAGAGGGAGGGTTGGTGTCCATGGCTTCCACTGACTCTCCTTGCTGTCCTCTAGATGAAAATCTCTTTCAACGAGATGAGCCTGCAGACCATGTTCGAGTACCCCTCTGAGAGCTCCCTGGCAGAGGAAGATGAGGAGGAGGAAGAAGAAGAATTCAGCTCAGAAATGGAGGATGACAAGCCTTCCTCCTTCTTCATTCCACACCCAAACAGCACCTTGCACCCTAACATGCCCAACCCAGGTGAGCTGCTTGATCTGCTGCTGGTCTCTTTCTACTCCAAAGTCATCCTACAGAAGGGCTAGGCAAGGACTGCTGGTACTTGGTTCTATAAAGGGTTTCTGGCAGCGGTTGTTTGATACTGAATCCTCAGCAAGCACTTGGGAGGGATGTTAGCTCGGTCCAAGGCCGATTTAGGAAATGGGCAGTGGGGACAATTTGCTTCGGTGAGCCCCTCCCTGGGCTAAGTGACACGGCCCAGAGGAATGGCTGTAGCTGGTAAAGCATGCAGTCCTGCTGGGACAAGTCGGCCACCGGCTGGGGTCCTGCTCTGTATCTGCATGTGTCCTCTCTTCAGGCTTGTCCAGCTATACACCAAAGCACTCTGTGGAGTTTGGCAAGTGGCAGGAACAGAAATATGAGGATCAGCCTGGTGCAACGGGGACCGTTCCAAAGGAGGTGGATACCCTGGGGAACCAGGTCATGGTGAGTCTTTACAGCAGTGCCTTGCTTATTTCCTTTTCACTCTGCTCTGATCTTCAGGCTAGTGTGGAAATACTGAGACCTGAAATGAGGAGAGTATTTCCATAGTAGAATGCCACACTTGAAGGGAGCAGGGCATCTGCTTGGACCCTGGGGGCTAAGAGAAGCCTCCACTGCAGCCAGCATCCTCCTTTGAGGAGGAGATTAAGGACTTGTCTATACTGCAACAGCAATGAGTCCTGGCACCAGGAGATGGAGGGATAGGACATGCTTTGGCCTCCAATTTAGTAGCCACACTCTGCACCAAAAAGATTGCAGTGTCTTCACCAGGCTCATCCTCAGTGCCTGCTTTCAGGCCCACGAGAGACGGGGATCGAGTGGGTGTAGACTGGCAAGACTAGAGAAACTTCACAAACGTATTTCCAGTTTGAAGTTTACTTGGGCAGGAGGGAGGGGGCATGTGTGAGGTCCCCTTCTAATGCCAGGATGTGCTGCTGCCTGAGTGTGGACATCTCTCCAGACAGCTGCTAGTTTCAGGTTGTCCTCTGTGCACTGCAGGCACATTCAGTATGAATATGGAGGTGCAGTCAGCCCCTGGCAAGGTCCCAGTGCAGCCCTTGCCTTATCAAAGCTCACCTAAACTCTGTGTGGCTTCTGTTCCAACTCCCTTTTCTCTCCCCACAGCTTACCCCAGCAGATAGGAGTTGTCTTTCTGACTTCAGCAGTGAGCCTGCCTTGTATTTCTGATCACCGAACCCTGCAGCCTGCAGCAGCTACAGCTGAGCAGGAAGCTTGGCATGCCATCCATCCTGCTCTCTGAAGGTCCTTGGATGCACTTCCTGGGATGGAGCGTCTCTGAAGTGCTACAGAAATGGGCTTCCAGCTCTGCCTTAACACAAACCCTGAGCTGGATCCTGTGCCTGAGGCACTAATGTTGTTGGACATCTTGGATGTTAGCAATGGATTCTGGGACCAGCCACCTTTTACAGTAGCAGGCAGAACTGTTTGGTTTGTGACCTTCACATGTTCCTTGTTCTAGAACAGCTGTCTGATTAAGTAAGAGCAAATCTGAAGTCTGCCAGGGGCACAGACTGAGGGTGCTCAGCTGAATCCACTGAGCCACTGATAGTGGACTCAAGGAAAGAGAGAGAGTCTCAAAAGCCTCTTGTGGAGGCTCCCATTGAAAAATATATCTGCAGTTTGAGCATTGAGGGATCTCCAGGACCATCTGGTGAATCAGCCTAGAGCTTGGCAGGCCAGGTCCAGGGAAGGTGGCTGTGGTTTGATAACTGCACTATAATGGGGTCCACTTCTTGTGCTCAGGATGGGGGGCTATCTCAGGTCCAAGTTCAAATCCAGGCACACTTTGGGGTCTGACTGGTTTCTGCTCCTGTAAAGCTGATGAATCATTCAGTCAAGGCTGTGTTGGCTGGGAAGGGATTCCCTGGGGTGGGATGCACTAGAGGGGTGAAGGATGAAGGGCGGGGGGTGGAAATAAGTGACTCATCCTCTGTGGCAGATCAGTAGAAGGAAAGCTGGAGGGTCCCCAGATTGATGCTGGTTGCTTCCTCTGGGCAACTGGAGCTGCCTGACTAGGCCTCTCTTTGAAGGAGTTCCAAAGCACTGGCCATAGCTGTAACATGTCCTACCTTTTGTCTCTTGATCTGTCTCCAATCACTATCACTCATGTCATGGTTGTCCCCATTCTGAACACTGCTGTAGCTGGTCTTTATCCTAGAGTCTGATCCAGCTGGCCCAGACTTATCCACTAGCTGCACTCCCTGCCCCATGGCTGCCCTTGAATTGGAGAGCTTGCTTGCTTTGGGTCAGAATACCTGCACCTGGGCTTTCTTGCTTCAATTTCAAGATGCAAAAGGGCCATTTCTCACTCCCTTCTTTAACAGCAACCTAAGCAAGGAATATGCTGTTTTTTCTAGGTTTTTATAATTCTCTTTTGTAATTAATGTAGCCAATACAGAAAGGAATCTGCTAGGTTTTCTCACTGATCATGGATGTTACTAGTACTGTAGACTTGGATCAATACTTCACTCTGGAGAAGACCAATGTTTTGGAATTGTATGTTGCTGCTCATGTGATTTGTACTCCGGGGATTAAACATGTAGCTGAAACAGATGGCCTCTTGGGTGTTGTGAATGGTCGAGATACATCATGGCTGCCTCTAGAGGCTCAACCTGTCATATTTCTGATTAAACCTGATGCATTTGTTCATTTGTCTGAATGTGTCAGTTTTGCTGTGTGTGAACTGAAAATGTTCTGCATCTCCTGCACTTACCTTAATACGAATACAGAAAAAGCAAAAGGAGAGGTTTTCTATACATGACATACTTTATGGAAAGACTTTGGGAGGTATCCAGTGCCCCCTGGCACCAGTGACTGAGGTGGGAGCTGCTGCAAACTTCTTAAAACATGACCCATAAACTCAAATGTTCACTTGACCTGGCTGGAGGGGCCAACCACAGACACGCACCACATCTCTACTCTGCAACTATACTGCTTTGAGCTTTCAAAGCTGATTAAAGTACTCATGTGATCTCCCAGGAGTGGTGTTTGGCTAGTGATTCACGGTACTGGGGAATTACAGCTGATTCAAGATAACTTTGAATGGGAGCCATTAATAGTGTGGCAATTAATCCTCTGTGCTGATGTTTCTGCCAGCACTAAGGAGACATTCCATGAAACAAACCCAGAAGAGTATTTAAGACCCAGTCTGAGGCTTGTATTTATCCCCAGCATGTGTGTGCAAGATAGAGAATGACTGCTAAGACCACCCCCCACCCCTGCATTTAGGGGAAGCAGAACAGGAATTATGATCCATCCCCCACTGGGGTGATGGGCAAAGGTGGAAGATGATCAGTGAATGCAGTCAGAGCTCTTAGAGAACGGAACAAGAAAAACCAAAGGCTTGTGAAATAGGCTTGTTCCTTTGTGATGACAATTGTCATTGACTAATGTGCATGTGAGAGCAGACTGACAGTCTCCATGTCTAGCTATCCATCCCCCAAAGTTTTAGAAAAAAAATCATAGAAAATTAGGGTTGGAAAGGACCTCAGGAAGTCATCTACTTCAACCCCCTGCTCAGAGCAGGACCATCCCCAACTAGATCATCCCAGCCAAAGTTTTATCTAGCCAGGTCTTGAAAACCTCCAAGGATGGAAATTCCACAACCTCTGTGGATAACCTGTTCCAGTGCTTTACTACCCTCCAAGTGAGAAAATTCATCCTAATATCTAACTTAAACTTCCCTTGCTGCAACTTCAGACCATTGTTCTTTGTTTTATCATCTGCCACCAGTGAGAACAGTATAGCTTCATCCTCTTTGGAATCCCCCTTAAGGTAGCTGAAGGCTGCTATTAAATCCCCTCTCGGTCTCCTATTCTCTACACTAAAAAAGCCCAGTTCCCTCAGCCTCTCCTAAGTCATGTCCCCCAGCCCCCTCACCATTGTTGTTGCCCTCCACTGGACTCTCCAATTTGTCTACGTCCTTTCTGTAGTGGGGGGCCCAAAACTGAACGCAGTACTCCAGATGTGACCTCACCAGTGCTGACTAGAGGGGAATAATTACTTCCCTTTACCTACTGGCCACACACCTACCAATGCAGCTCAATATGCTGTTAGCTTTCTTGGCAAAAAGGGCAGACTGATGGCTCGTATTCAAGCTTCTTGTCCACTGTAACCCCCAGGTCTTTTTCTGCAGAGCTGCTGTCCAGCCAGTCAGCCCCCAGGCTGTACCTGCGTATGGGATTGCTCTGTCCTAAGTGCAAGACTTTGCACTTGTTCTTTTTGAACCTCACCAGCTTCCTTTTGGCCCAATCCTCCAATTTGTCTAGGTCTCTGTAAATCCTAGCCCCACTCTCCAGCATATCCACTACTCCCCCCACAAGCTTGATGTCATCTGCAAACTTGCTGAGGGTGCACTCTATGCCATCTTCCAGATTGTAGATGAAGATATTGAACAAAACTGGCCCCAGGACTGATTCCTGGGGCAGTATACTTGATACCGGCTGCCAACTAGACATTGAGCCATTGATTACTACCCTCTGAGCCTGATGTTCCAGCCAGTTTTCTATCCACCTTACAGTCCATTCATCCAACCTATACTTCCTTAGCTTTCCTTTGAGAATATTGTGGGAGACTGTATCAAAAGCCTTACTAAAATCAAGGTATCACATCCACCGGTCTCCCAGCAGAGCCAGTCATTTCATTATAGAAGGCAGTCAGGTTGGTCAGGCATGACTTTCCCCTGGTGAATCCATGCTGACTTCCTAATCACCATTTTGTCCTCCAAGTGCTTAGGAATGGATTCCTTGAGGAGGACCTCCTCCATGATATTTCCAGGGACTGAGATGAGGCTTACTGGTCTATAGTTCCCTGAATCCTCCTTTTTCCCTTTCTTAAATATGGGCACTATGTTTTCCCCTTTTCAGTCATCTGGGACCTCTCCTGATTGCTGTAAGTTTTCAAAGATGATGGCCAGTGGCTCTGCAATCACTTCAGCCCACTCAGCCCCCTTGGGTCCATCCCATCCTGCCCCATGGACTTATACATGTCCATATTTTCTATACAGTCCCTTACCTGTTCTTTCACCATTGAAGGCTGCTCACCTCTTCCCTCAGTGGTGAAGTGGGCTGATGTGATTGCAGAGCCACTGGCCATCATCTTTGAAAACTTACAGCAATCAGGAGAGGTCCCAGATGATTGGAAAGGGGCAAACATAGTGCCCATATTTAAGAAAGGGAAAAAGGAGAATCCAGGGAACTACACACCAGTCAGCCTCATCTCAGTCCCTAGAAAAATCAAGAAGAACCTCAAGGAATCCATTCCTAAGCACTTGGAGGAGAAAATGGTGATTAGGAACAGTCAGCATTCATCAGGGGAAACAACCGGATTACCTTCTGCGATGAGGTGACTGGCTCTGTGGATGTGGGGAGACGGGTGGATGTGATATATCTTGATTTTAGCAAGGTTTTTTGGTACTTTTTCCTACAACATTCTCACAGGCAAGCTAAGGAAGCATAGGTTGGATAAACGGACTGTAAGGGGATAGAAAACTGGCTGGAGCATCAGGCTTGGAGGGTAGTAATCAATGGCTCAATGTCTGGTTGACAGCCAGTATCAAGTGGAGTGCCCGCAGGGGTTGGTCCTGGGGCTGGTTTTGTTCAATGTCTTCATCAATGACCTGGAAGATGGCATAGAGTGCACCCTCAGCAAGTTTGCAGATGACACCAAGCTGGGGGGAGCAGTAGAGACATTGGAGGGTAGGGCTACAATTCAGAGTCAATTAGATTCAGAGTCAATTCAGAGTAGATTTTGTCTCAATATGCAACTTGCATGGACTACTAGCTTTCCCTAGCAGTAGTCTTCACTCCTTATTGGAAAGGGGTGTGTGGTAGTCAAGGGCAAAAGCTCCGTGTACTCTATGCCAAAGCCCAACTCTGCTGCTGGTACCTCTCCTTAGTCCCCTGCCCCTCTCTTCCATCACATATACACACAAGCAACTTGTGCCTCCCACGCTTTTTTCTCTTCTGCCTCTACCCAGCCAGGCAGGCACTTCCATGGAGATAAACCACTCCTGTACAAAGAAGTCCTTTCTATCTGCTCTACTTCTCCCTTGGCAGAGTTGACTACAAACAGCACAAGGACCAGGTTTCTGCACCTTGTTTCCTAATGAGTGCTACTGCACTACACTGGCTCCTGGGAGATGAGCTCTTCTCTACATTGTGTAAGCATATAGGCTTCAAACTGCTCTTGCCAAAATGAAGCATCTGCTTTCTCTCAGAAGGGGAAAGCACTAAATTGCTAAGTTTCCTTTCTCCCTCAGGCTGGGCTGTGCACAGCTGCTGCTTGGCATTCTGGCTGAACTCTAATGGCATTTGCTACTGAGCTTTGCTAAGTGAAGGTCAAATTTTACTTTTCTTCACCTTGTGCCAAGGCCCTTCTGAAAGGAAAACACACTTGTGCAAAATGAAGATTTTACTGGACATTGTTTCCTCTACATATACCAAAATGATAGCAGCTCTTCTCAGTCCAAGAAGAGAGAGAATTTAGGAATGTGTGAGTCCATGTGCTCAGCTCTCTTTTACAACACTGCCTTTTGGCTCTGTGGCTCTGCTCAGATTCCCCGCTTCCTTCTTCAGGACATTTAGCAGTGTCTGGGAACTTTCCAGGATCTAAGGGGGAAAGAAAAAGAAGTTACTTACCTCCTACACAAACTCTCTCATCACAGGCTGCTCTTGAATTAACCATTCAACTGATTTCTTTATAGTCAAGAGGAATTTTCCACCACTGCAGTCTTTAAAACTTCTGGGAAGAGCAAGCTAGTGGTTTGATGCTGGAATTGTTAGGGAAGGGTTATCTGGCCTGTGTTTTGGAGGAAGTCAAATGGAATGATTGCAATGGCCATTTATTAATATTCACAGATGTTAAGGCTGGGAGGGACCATTGTGGCTTCCTACCGGAGAACCTCCCCCTGTGACTCCTGCATTAAACCAGCAACAAGGGGATGAACAGGAGGTTTTTTAGAAAGATGCACAAATCCTTGATTTAAGGATGCCAAGTGACAGAATCTGTCACATCCCATGGTCAGCTGCTAAGTACTCTCACTACTAAAAAAAGTGTACCAGGCTTTTGGATTATTTTCCGCTTTGTCTGCTCCAGTGAAGGGCACTCTGCTAAATCTTTTCCCTAGCCAGATATTTTGTCTCAACTTCTCTCTCACTTTTCTCTTTATTATGAGTTCCTTAGTCTTTTGCAAGCTAGGATTTCCAGAGCTTGGATCATTCTTGTAACTCTCTTCTGATGACTTTCCTGTATGTGGACATTTTTTTCTTGGTACAGAGAAGGCAACACTCAGTAGTTGTCTCATTGATGCTGTACACAAGGGCAATACCATCTCTACCTCAACTCAGCATTCACAGGAACATATGGCTAAGGCTTGCATTAGATCTGTTAGGCACAGCACTGGGCTAGTACACATTCAGCCAGTTCCCACCATGGCCAATAGGGCTGTGCAAAGCTTCGGGTGGTGATTTGATTCAGAGGAGATTCGGCCCGATTCAGTGGCCCAATCACTGAATCTGAATCGAATCAGGGGACCAATTAATATTAAAGGTCTGAATCGATTCAAAGCTCTCCAAATCTCCATGGAAGAGCCCCCACCATGTGGCATAGGGCAGCAGGGATTGCCCCCACCAGCAGGAAGGTGAGTCTGGGGTTTTTCTCATTTTTTTTTCTTCTTAAAGGGCCGGAACCAGAGCGAGTAGAGCAGCCACAGGGAAGCTGGGGGGCAGAGGGGGTCAGAGGTTTCGTGCAGAGCCCCCCATGGGGCAGTGGGGAGCAGTGGGGATTGTTTCCCCAATTGGCAGCACCTGCTGAGTCAGGGCTTCTTTTTTTTCAAAATGCCGGGAGCTGGGATGGGCTGGGAGAGCGGACAGGGGATGGGCCTGGGCCATTCAGAGATTTGACAGGAGCCAAATCTCTGAATCAATTTCGGGCAAATCAATTCGGGACAGTGATTCAAATCACCAAATCGAAACACTGTCCCCCGAATTGGCAAAATCCGAAGCGAATGCTGGCCACTTCACACAGGCCTAATGGCCAATAATGCTCTTTCATGGCTTGCCAGTGAGACCTGTTTTTTAATTTCTACATAAATAAACTTGTATTTGGCAGCTGCATGGGTCTAGGACCCCCATGGGATTTTGCAGTGTACTCATCCCTCCGTCCTGCCAGAGTAGCAATACCTGCTTGACCCACTTTCTGCAGACACTATCCTCTTTGCCCCACAACCCACACATCTGGAAAGGGAAATGTCTCCTTGCCCTGCTACCTAGTTTTTTTTCCCAAGCTCCATTCGTTACACTCATACACTAAGTACTAAGGGACTAAAGCACAGTTCACACACAAGCCACAACACGATTGTGCCGTGACAACTGCAGGTGCCATGAGCTTTTCACACCCTTCCAGTCTTCCCATAACTCAAACATGGCAACACTGGAGAAACAATGCAAGGCAGCGCTTCTGCCATGACAACGCTACAGCCTTAAGAGTTCCCCTGGGGACAACACAGAGCTTACCCCTCCCGAACCTCTTTGTCCCTTGTGATCTAGGATAGTGATTCTCTACCTTTTTTGGACAAGGACACATTTGTAAACATCAATGGCCCGGCCCAACCCACTGCCCCCCACCCCCAGTATGTGGGGCATGGGGGCCCCTAAGCAGCCCCTTGGAAGCTGGAACTCTGCCAGCCTGCAAGGGAAAAGCCTCGGTTTTCCATGTTTCTCTCCTCTAAAAGAGAATCCATTTTTTAAGTTTGTTGATCAATTTTTAAAGTTTGTTCGCAACCCTTTTATATAGTCTTGTGACCAACTTTTGGGTCACAACCAACAGGGTGAGAAACACAGATCTAGGACAATCAGCAGCAAATGCTCTCTGAAGCCATAATGCTGCCTTGAGCACAGTGAAGGTCACTACAATCAGTAGTCCTCATCTAAAGAGGGGAAGGCTCAGAGAAGATAAGAGATTAAGAATGGGTAAGCTACTGAGAGTCGTGCCTGGAAGGCCACTGGGAGAGGGGCGAGGCAAACATGGAGAGAAAGACAGACCCCAGCACAAAATCCAACAGCAGTGAAGACAAGTTCAAGTTTCTTCTTCCTCCACTATTTTGATTTCCTTCACAACCCTTATTATTGACCATGATCCATGCTTCTACCCTGGGCTAGACAGAACCGTTAATTCCTGGTAACTGTGGGTCTTCAAGAATTGACTCTCTGCATTCACAGTTGTGAGACAGCACTCCCTGGGGTGAGCTCACAAGATCCTCCTCTAAGCCCTGTCCATTACAAGATGCCCAAGTACCCTTTAGCTGGCTGAGCCATTTGGTGCACAAGGCTAAAGAAGGGATGCACTGCTACTCTTGCTGCTGCCAGCTCTTCTTGACAGTGTGCCGAATTATGGCTATCTACAGCGGGGGTGGCCAACCTACGGCACGAGTACTGCAAGTTGCATGGGCATCCTTTGTGTGGCCTGTGCCGGCGGAGAGGGGTCAGGCAGCACAGCAGTAGATGGAGCAGGGAGCAGATCAGACTGGGATCACAAAGCAGGGAGCTGGCTGAAAGCAGAGGAAGAGACTGGGCACTGGGAGCAAAGGGTAGGGAGCAGAAGGCAGAGCAGCAGATAGGGCAGGGAAAGGGGATCAGTGACACCCGGGGAGGGCACGGGGCTAATCTGCGGCATAAGAAAGGTTGGCCCCGCGCTACTCTAGAGCAGCGGCTCTCCAGGCCGGCCTGTCCTACCCTGCGGCCAAGGGGCCGTGTCTGCTCGCCGCCTGCGCCACCTTGAAAGGGCTCCATGCAGGCAGGGAGCCCCTTCCCTGCCCAGCTCCACTCCCGCCCCAGCCCCCCGCAGCCCGGCCCGTTTCATTTCAGCCAGTTTCTACCGCAGCTGTGATTTTCCCACGGATAGGGGGGCCCCAAAACTATATGCTGCAGCCCCCCCCAGAATATCACGGTGCTTCTCAGCCTTTTTGGTACCAGGCCCCATTTGTAAACATCAGTGGCCCGTCGCGACCCGGCGCCCTCTCCCCAGGCCGGGACCCGGCGTGCGGGGCGGGCTGCAAAGGGAAAGTCCCCAGGTGCCGCTTCTGCAGGAGGAGGCGTGTTTGCAGCCGGCTCAGGGCGGTTTCCCGCGTTCCGCGGGGCCGAGGCGCTACCTTGCCGTAGGCCGCCTCGGTCTCGGCGATGGTGCGCTCGAACTCGTTGCGCGTGGCCATCTTGCGGGCCAGCCCCTCGTTGAGGCGGGCCAGGCGCTCGGTCAGCAGCCGGATGTCGCTCTGCAGCTTGCCCTTCTCCTCCTCCTCGCGCGCGATCTGCCGGCCCAGCTC